GCAGTGATAGGATGGGAGACAACAGGCACAACTTGGAATGCCGGAAATTCCAAATTGCTATGAGGTAAACTATTTCATCTCAAGGATAGTCAAACATTGAAGCGGGTGCACGAAGAGGTGGTGGACTCTCCATCCCTAGAGCTATTCAAAAGGTCAGAAGGATTTCAGAAGTTAAAGCTTAATAAAATGTGTAGGTAACTATTTTTTTCTTTAATTTGCTTTAGTTAATGTATTTTTATTCAATTGGAGTAATTAAAAACACTTGTTTCACTGTTGGCTTGGTTTTTAGTACAGTGCTTTTGTGTCAGGTTGGAACCTCTATGTCAACTTCTTCATGTGTCCTTCTTAGGAAAAAGCTTCTATTAATCTCGGTCCAAGAAAAGCACCTTTTTTGTTTTAACGCCTATAATTTACTAACACTGTGTTTAAGGTTGTTTTATGTTATGGTGTCATGATTCTTTGTGCTAAAGAGGCTTTCTCTGAACTGTAGCCAAACATGAAAAATACAGTAATGGCCTTGATAAAGGAAAATTTTTTTTATTATTCATGGTGCAATTTGGCATCTGCTGTTGAAAAAGAGACGCTATTACTTCAGCATGAAATACCAACAAGGAAGAAAAGATCTGTCTCAGTATTTGTTATGAATTAAGAGCTTTATATCTTGCTATAAAACTGTCCTTTTCCTCTGGTTTGTTTTTAACACGTTCTATTTGTGATTGCATAGGGAAACATAAAACAGACTGTGGAACAGATAGAAGAGCATAAAAAACGAATAGAGAAGTTGGAAGAATATGCCAAGATATGCACGTATGTTTAAAAAATTAAAAGCTAATTGGATTTCTTGCATATTACATATTTTCAAATCAACATAGCAGGTTTCTCTTTCTTTCTAATTCTTTTCTTTCAAATTTTAGTAGGAATTCTAATCAATATTTCAGTTACTTTAGCTGTCAAAGTAGGAAGTATGGTGACTTATCCATATTTTGTTTGAAACCAGTTTTATAATTGCTTCTAATTTCTTGTAGGTGTGCAAATTATGTCACTACGGGTAGGGAATGGGTCTATTAGTGTACAAATTCTGAGTGAGAGAACAGGGCAGTTCTGTAGTTGTGCTGCTCTAGAAAGCATTAATATTTACATTGTGTATTAGGAGCACAGCTCCGTTCTTGCTTCCTCGGTCTTGTCTTCCACCTGATATTTACTCTTTGTGAAATAAGGTATATAAGCCCTTCATTGAGCAACCTGAACTAACTGTGCCATTAGCCTGTGTTTTGTGCAGGAGGTCTGAGTAGGTGATCTTCAGAGCCTTTTTCCCCAACCTACCTTTTCCTATGCATCTGTAATGTGTGCTTTGGCTTAAAGTTGTCTGTACTGAACAAAGTTCTGCTATGGACAGGGAGCAGCAGACCCACTGTGATTGCTGTGATGCAAAATTATTTTAGTTATGTAGTTTTAGTAGAGCGTGGTAGAGCCTTAGTGACTTTGGTGTGTAAAGTGAGTCATAATTTTGCATGAGAATTCTCAGTCCTTCTTAGTTTTGCAATAGCAGACCTTTTATTGATGGAGGATAAAACAGCAGGGTTGCAAGTTACACAGGCAAAAACTCTCCCTTGAACTCAATTTTGAAACCTTAGAAATAGCTTATACTATAGAATGCAACTTGTATAGTCTGTGACCACAGAATGACTGTAATTTTACAAGCTCAAAGCTTGTATAAATGAAATAGTAAATGGCTTTCCTTTTTTTGCTTCCATCCAAAGTGAGTCGTTAGCCGAGAAAAAACAGCAAGAGGAAGCGCTAACTAAGGAAATTGAAAACTCAACAATACGAATGGCTGAAGTGAACGAAGAGTTGAACAAAATAGTTGGTGAACTGCAGAATGCCAAAATTGATTACCATGAAGGAAGGCGTCAGCAAATGAGAGCAGAGATCCTGGAAAGTCTCAAAAGACTATATCCGGATTCTGTGGTAATTGTTTAAATGCCTTATTTTAGATTTAATTTTTAAAGAATTCTGCCTTAGATTGAGTAAGCAGCTGGATTAAATTGGACTGTCTCGAGTATTATTTTAAAGTTCATGCTTGCTTGAGTATACTTGGTGAAATAGTATTTCTGAAAGAATAGTAGCATGTACTGTCATTATTTTTCACAGTTTCCAGAACTGGACAGATTACTGCTTGCATCAAAGAATAATTTTGATCTCTTGTGTGATTTTTGTGGTGTTTGATTTATTTTTCTTTTTTCTGTTTGGTTTTGTTTTCTTCTGTCCTCAAACATATTTTTGACTTACTTATTTTGAACAAATGAATGGGAAGTTTAGCTGTGAGACCATTTATTTCAGAAAGAATACTTCTTCCAAAGGACAATTTTGCTTGGGTACATGAGATTTTTATGGTACCAAATGGTCTGTCTTTGCTTATCAGTTACCATATTTTACTTAAGTTTATCTTCAGTAATGCCATTAAGTGTTTTGTGTATTGATTCTGAATTGTCAGCAGATATTGATTGTTTTATGAGGCATATTTACACCTTTTTACCGACGCTTAAAAATTACTCCAACATTGGAAACTATTTCAGATAAGAACTTTTTAATAAATCTAATCAGCTGAATAGTTGGCTTCTGAGTATGTCTCAGTATAATCAATCCTTTGTGATATAAATAGTCAGTTGAGATGTACAAGCTGGGAATCTTTTTTTATTTAATGTTAAGAAGGTGACATATGTCTGCTTCCTAGTGCTGCCATAAGAACATAAAAAATTAAAATGTTTTCAGTTGTTGTTTGCTTCTTGGTCTTTTGCAAAACCTCCTCAGAATCTGCTAAGTGTCTGATGCTGTTGTTTTCTCAAGAGATTAAGAAATTTGCTTTTCTGCTGTTCCTCAGAAATTTTTCATCCATGTTAACAAGGTGTTACAAAAATTCAAAAAAATGATTGGTATATCTCTCTTTGCTTGCTCTTTGCATTGTATCCCTATTTGAAAAGAACTGGATCAGGCTGGTGATATTGTGCCAGCTTAGGAGAGAGCTAGTGTTCAGGATGTTCTCTGTCATTTTCCTTCAGGAGCTGTAAATTTAAAAGTACTTACAGATGTGATGACTTCCAACAAATAAAAACTAGATAAGTTGAATTGGTTACATAAACTATCCCATTACAGAAAGTTTTAACAATATCTGCTTCAGTTACCCTTGTTCCTGCAATAGTTTTCCCAACACCAGCATATGAGGCAGAGTTGCTTCTGTGCTGCTCCTCATGCTCCGGTGCACTAATTCCAGTTTACTAAACACAATCCAAATTAAAATTTCAGGATGGAAGGATCATGACACATTTCGTCATCTGGTAGTCCACTAAGTACTCAGGCCAAACTGGAAGAAATCTTGGTGTCGATCTTCTGGATTTCATAGGCAAAAAATGGCATGCTGCTTCTAAATGTTTAGTACTTCCATCCATTTTAAAGCTCCTGTTCTTCTGTTAAAACATTCTTGTAACGGTTGGTGAACATTCCAGGTACTGGAACAGCCATGCAGCAATGAGATTCCCTTTGTATGAGTGATCTGTGCATTTTCATGGATTTGTCTGATGAACAAAGTGAATTTTGCAGCTGATTACAGTTTTTACAATTAATTTTCAAAACAGCATTCCTACATTGGTAGTTTTAATTGGCAAGATTGCTATTGTTACAGATTCATTTGGGCCGTCAATATCTGTTTTCACAGAAATCTGGCATTCCATCAGGACTTAAATGCCCGTGTCTGAAATTATATAGATCCTCTGTATAGTTTTGCATGTTTGAAATATCACGTGTCTGAGCTGCAGATAGAAACGTGCAAGTAGATGACACTGTGTGAGAAAACCAGGAAACTAAATAAAGACCTTTGTGGTGTTGGATGTTATCCTTGCTTCTACTGTTTTTCAGAAAAGGGAAAACATTTGTCAAGAGAAGGGTGGGAAAGTAGATCATAGTAGGCCATGATCTGATCTACTGGAAATTATCTCAATTATATAATTCATGAGATAATACTGTGGATGACCTATTGCATACAACTCTTGCCAGTTATCTTCCTGTTCTCATTTGTTTAAACTTGGTAAGGATAAAACTGTAGACATGCAAGAGGAGACCAGTAGCTATAGGTCAACAAGCAGAAAAATTGTTCTTGCATGAATTCACAGGTTATAATGTTCAGAATGTGCATTAGTAGCTTTAATCATTCGGGGAAAGCTCAACTGTACCTATAATTACAGAAATGGAACAAAAGATCCTTAGGGAACATGTACAGCAAAGAACTAATTAGTTTTATCTATGGAGGTGTTATTTCAATATATGGCAAAACAGGCTTGATTATTTGGACTGTGCAGTACAAGAAAAGCAGTTTTTATTCTTTTCATGCTACTAAAGTAAGCAGATAATTCTTTTTTGGGTTGAAACTGGACTAGTGCCTCTCTTGCTACGATTGTCCAGTTAACAGTTTTATTTGTTTAAGACCTTACTGTCATTCAAAGATCTTACTCTGTGTTAGATACTCTCTTTCTCTCCAAAAAAGATGCTTAGCTAACTTTGCTATTGTTACTCTGTCGTACTTCTAGAAGTGTACGGTAGAGATTCTGAGTAAAACATTGAGATATGTAACTGTAACCTCAGAGAAAAAATTAAGTCCCTTCAGATTTTGAAGGCATACTCTGCAATTTGGATTGATGACTGCTACAATTTCCATTTTTTTCTGATGTACAGCCATTGTAAGAGAGTGCAGCTGGTAGATATGTAACACGTTTTCCTCTTACTACTTTATCTTGTATGCAGAAATATTATTTGATATCTAAAGTAACATATTAACGTTTCTCTATATTTTTATCTTCAGTTTGGAAGACTGCTTGACCTGTGTCATCCTATTCATAAAAAATACCAGCTTGCTGTTACCAAGGTATTCAGCAAATACATGACTGCTATTGTCGTTGCCACTGAAAAAACAGCAAGAGATTGCATTCGGTTCCTAAAACAAGAACGAGCTGAACCTGAAACTTTTCTTGCTTTGGATTACCTTGATGTAAGTACATCTTTCTTTTTTCTGTCATGAGCAAGTTAATACACTTGTAAATCTTGATATTGGCTCATTTAAGCTTAACTAGAATGTTAAGGCAAAGCACTTATGAGGTGAACTTCATGAGGTTCCTGTTGGCCCATTTCTCCAGCCTGCTGAGGTCCCTCTGGATGGCAGCATGACCCTCTGGCATATCAGCCACTCCTCCCAGTTTTTTGTCATCAGCAAACTTGCTGAGGATACATTGTACCCCACCATCCAGATAATTAATGAAGATGTCAATATTGGGACCAATCCTGTTTGACATGTTAGTTACTGGCCTCCAAATGGACGTTGTGCCACCAATCACCACCCTGTGGGCCTGTCTGTTCACCAGGTTTTCAGTCCACCTCACTGTCTGTTCATCCAGCCCATATTTCATCAGCTTGTCTATGAGGATCTTAGGAGACAGTGTTGAAAGACTTACTGAAGTCTAGGTAGACAATATCCACTGCTCTCCCCTCGTTTACCAGGCCAGTCATTTCATTGTAGAAGGCTATCAGGTTGGTCAAGCATGACCAACTTGGTGAATCCATGCTGACTACTCCTTCAAGATTTTCTTGTTGTTCATGTGCCTGGAAATGGTTTCTAGGATTAGTTGCTCCATCACCTTCCCAGGGAGCAAGGTGAGGCTGACTGTCTTGTAGTTCCTTGGTTCCTCTTTCTTGCCCCTTTTTGAACACAGGAATGAGACTTGTTTTTCTCCAGTCCTTAGGCACCTCTTTCAGTTGCCATGATCATTCAAAGATTATTGAGAGTGGCATTGCAATGGCATCGGCTAACTCCTTCATCACATCACAGCCCATGCATTTACGTACGTCCAGTTTGCTTAAGCATTCCCTGGCCTGATACCCTTCCATCAAGGGTATGTTTTTCTTGTTCCAGCCTTTCCCCCTGCTCTCTGGAACCCGGGATTCCTGGAGGCCAGTCTTGCTAGTAAAGACTGAGGTGAGGAAGGAATTCAGTACCTCAGTCTCTTCCATATGTGTCACCAGGTCCCCTGCCTCATTCAGCAGCAGGCCCACATTTTCCCTAGTCTTCCTTTTGTCACCTATGTACTTACAGAAGCTGTTTTTTTCACATCACTTGCCAGATTCAGTTCTAGTTGGGCTTTGGCCCTTCTGATTTTCTCCCTGCATAACCTCACGACCATTTCTGCATGCTTGGACAGTGCCTCTATATTCCTCCCAGGTTACCTGTCCCTGCCTCCACCCTCTGTAGGCTTCCTTTTTGTGTTTGAGTTTTGCCAGGAGCTCCTTGTTTATCTATGCAGGCCTCCTGGCATTTTTGCCTGACTTCCTCCTCATTGGGATATTTGCGCTTAAGGCTGGAGGAGGTGATCCTTGAATATTAACCAACATTCTTGGGGCCCCTCTTCACTCTAGGGCCTTATCCCGTGGGACTCTACTGAGCAGATGTTTGAAGAGGCCAAAGTCTGTTCTTCTGAAGGCCAGGGTTGTGAGCTTGCCTTTTGCCCTGCTCCCTCCTCTCAGGATCCTGAACTCTCCTATCTTACGCTCACTGCAGCCAGGGCTGCCTTTGACCTTCCCATCCCCAGCAAGCCTCTCCTTGTTGGTGAACACAAGGTCTAGCAGAGCACCTCTCCTCACTGGCTTCTCAGTCACTTGGGTGAGGAAGTTGTCATTGATGCTTTGCAGGAACCACCTGGATTGCTTATGCCCTGCTGCGTTGTCCCTGTAGCAGATACCGGGCTGGTTCAAGTCCCTCATGAGGACCAGGGCCTGTGAATCTGATGCTGCTTTTAGCTGTCTGTAGAAGGCCTCGTCCACTTGTTCTTCCTGGTTAGGCGGCCTGTAGCAGACACCCACTACGATGCTACCTTTACCAGTTCTCTCTTCAATCCTACCCATGATCTCTCAGTTGACTCATCATCCTTCCCCAGCCAGAGCTGTGTGCATTCTAGCTGTTCTCTCACTTACAGGGCAGCTCCACCTCCTTGTCTTCCCAGCCTGTCCTTCCTAAAAAGCCTCTATTCCTCCGTTGCAACATTTCCAGTTGTGGGAGCCATCCCACCATGTCTTCCTGATCCCAAGAAGGTTATAGCCCTGCAACTGCACACAGATCCTCAACTCATCTTGTCTATTGCCCATGCTACATGCATTAGTATACTTGCATTTCATGCACAGTGAAATAGGTTATACAGATTTAAGGACTATAGTATACACAGAACATGAAAACCAGATCTGTTTCTAGTCTTGTAGCAACTGAGACCCCCATTCTGTTGACTTGTATGTCCTGTCCCCAGACCACTCAGGTTTGGACATGCTTTGCTATTACAACATGGATTCTAAACACCACTTATGCTTTACAGGTTAAACCGATCAACGAAAAGTTAAGAGAGATAAAAGGAGCTAAAATGATGGTGGATGTTGTACAGACTCCATTTGCTCCGCTGAAAAAAGTGATTCAGTTTGTGAGTGGGAATGGCTTGGTCTGTGAAACAGTCAAAGAAGCAAAACAAATAGCGTTTGATGGACCAGTGAGGTTGAAAGTAAGAAGCTGAATTTTGTTGCATGTGTTTTTCATTACAGTTACATATTTCATGCCATTTAAATAATTCCTCTATAAACATCCCACAAAGTATTGCAGATAAACACAGAATGGTACTATGCTGTCTAGTCTATTCCCACACAGATATCCGCGCAGATATTTCACATGGTTATATTTTCCTCTGTATGGTAGTATGTTTAAGTGATTTCCTGGGAAAAGGAGGCAAATTAGAGGATAGTTAGTGTCCAGATATGCTTCTTGGTATACTCCTCTTGATGAAATGGCGGAGAAGGAAGGAGGGATAATCCTGTTCTTAAAACTGTCTGATATAAAAACACAAACTTTATTTTGCTAGCTTTTCTGTGAAGAAATACTTTCAAAAATTCCTTAAAATACCTGACAGAATCTCTTAGTTGTAGATGTAGACTGTGTTGAAGACTGGAAGCTTCTCTGTCTCTTCCTGCAGTTCGTTGTTCTTATCCATATCTCTATTGCTGTCATAGTCTGTAGAGCCCATTTATGGACTTAGTAAACCTTTTAAAATCTTAAGACAGCATTAAGTTGAAGGTGAATATGTGAAATCATGTTTACTTGGAATCCAGTTAAGTCACAAAAACACCCAAGTTCTTTACTGAAATTTACACTTCCCATTTACAAACGAGCTGTTTTCCTTTACTCCATTATCACACTACTTGGTTTGCTCTCTTGAGCCAGACATAACCTTCTAAGTTGCCAGTGTAGACACAAATGTCTCGTATTAATTTCCTAAATACAAGGAAATTCATAAAATTTCATTTCCTTTTCTGATCAGTTGTAATAATGCCAAAATGTGACTAGTGCCAAGAAACAACAGTCTTTTTTTTGTGGCTTTGTGTATCTCATGTTAGCAGGTTTGGAACAGGGAAAAAAAATAGGAGTCAAACTAAAATGTGGTTGTTGCTTGTTTAACTACCATATCTTGGTGCACTAGTTTATGGGATATCTTGGCTGCTTTGTGTTCAGATCTATTTTTTTTTTTTTTCTTCCAGACAGTGGCTCTTGATGGAACTTTATTTTTGAAATCTGGAGTGATTTCTGGAGGATCAAGTGATTTAAGATTTAAAGCTAGATGTTGGGATGATAAAGAAATGAATAAAATGAAAGAAAGAAGAGATAGCTTGATTAATGAGTTAAAGGTAGGTCTGTTAAAAAGCACTTAACAGCAAAAGGCATAAAGGAGTAAAAGTTGTATCTAATTTAATTCAGCTATGGGAAGATGATTTTCTAAAGAAGATTTTCAAAACTTCTAGAAGATGCAGACAGGGCATAGTAGCTGTTTATCCTCTTCTAGTTAATAATAATCAACTGTGGGTCTCTGTCCTTAGCTGGTGGGTTGGTTCGCATATCACAGAGGTAAAGAACCAGGACAACACTGTTGATACAAGTTCCTTCAAGGAAAAAGATCTGTGGTTCAAAGTACCTGAAAGACTTTTAGTGAAAAAGATGATACATTCTGTCAACATGAAAATATTTGCATGGACCAACACCTGTCAGTGTAAAATGATTTGTCATACCTCTAGTTATTTTGGAGGAGGGACAGAGTAGGAATTCAGGAGTTTGCAAGCACATGCTTTCTTTTGAGAAATAAATCTTGCAAAATGACTATTGAATATGACCAATGCAATCAGCATCTACCTTGAATGGGGCCTGTGTCAGTGAGGCTAGCTTTATGTAGTGCATGAATCTGAAAAATGAGTAATTTCCAAATAAGTCACCTTTTGTTTAAAATGCTGTTTCTCTTCTCCCATTGTAATATTTTTCTAGGACTTAATGAAGATAAAACGTAAGGAGGCTGACTTGAAGCAGTTGCGTGCTCAATGCCACGGAACTCAGACACGACTTAAATATTCACAGAGTGAATTAGAGCTTATTAAAAAGAAACATCTCGCTAATCTCTATACGGTATAGTACTAAGCCTTTATAATTTCCATGTTTAATAACTGTTTTTTTTTTACCTAAGCTGTAATTACCAGTGAAGTAAATACTACTTCCTTCTGTAGTTTTTTTTAATTCAGTTTAAGTTTTACATACAGCAGTTATCACTGAGGAATTAATGAAATGGAAAAAGCCTCATGTAAATTACTTTGTAATCTTGTTTTTTATATTTTAGGTTTTAAATTTTGAATTTCTGGTAAGCTTGGTTTATCATTTAGTAACCTCCAGAAAATCTGTATGTCAAAATGCACTTTAAATGATACTTATAATGTAATTTGCTTTTCTACTCATTAAAACTGTAATCATTGTATGCAAATCAGCAATAATAGTGGGTAAGTGACATTTGAGAAGAAAATATTTAATGTTTTTAATCAGAAGAATACGGTTATTCTGGAACAGAACTCTCAATTTCTAGAAAGTTGACTACCCTATTAAGAAAAATTACCATCTTTTCCCTTTCTATCTAGGAAAAATCAAAACTGGAAAGTGAACTGGTAAATATTGAGTCTCAGCATGATATGCTGAATGAAGGAATAGCACAAAGAAAAGAAAAAATAGAAGAATTCCAGAAAAAAATTAATGAGGTAATGCCTTTTGTCATAGTCGTGACAGCTTGTACTGTTATACTACAGAAACTTTTTTTCTGTTCCT